TCCAAGCCCTGGTTTCGCTTCGTTTCAGGTCTGGAGTTTGACTTGGCCACGAATCTGGTGGGACAGCCCCTGGTGAGGCAGCAGGTGATGAAGGGGCTGAGGGAGTTCCTGGAGAACCCGAATCCAGTGAAACCCCTCGTGATGTCCTTCCACGGCTCGACAGGAACAGGCAAAACCTACGTGAGCTCCATGCTCATCCGCTACCTCTTCCAGAGGGGGCTCCAGAGCCCCTATGTTCACCACTTCTCCCCCATAGTGCATTTCCCCCACGCTGAGCAGATAGAGCAGTACAAGGTAAGGGACACCGCTCAGCAGTGCCACTTCACTGGGGGGTTTGGCTGTGTCTGGCTTGATCCTCAGTACATATGCATTCAAGCTGTTTCCTGAAGTGCAGTAGGAATAAAAGCTTTTTGTTTTACCCTCTCAGACAAACATAGCTGAGAGAGTGGCTCCATACACTGGCTGAAGGATGCACTAGTAACTACAGTATACTCTGTTATTACTTTCGGCCTCTCCACAGCAGTCCCTGCCTTGATCGTGTTCTCATTCTTAAATATTTACACAGCTCTTTGAACGCACAAACAAAAGTGATTTGGCTTAGATGAAAGGCACTAAAATTTTCCCAATGCTTTCCAAACAGCCTGATGGCTGTAAAAAGCTGCATATCACTAGACTTGTAATCCCCTCCTCACAGAGCACACAGCTCCCTAACAGCAGCTCCAGACTCTCCATGGTGCCGTTCTGTCTCTTAGAGCTGAGAAAAGAGAGAAATCAAAATGCCAGATTTTCAGCAGAGTGGGAATTCAGCATACCTGGACCTTTAGTTTCTGGGTGTTTGGAGAAATTATTTGTTGTATTGTGTCCTTAAAGGAAACGCTTTTGGAAAAGTAAATCCCTTCCTGGCTGAAGTGCTTCATTTAGGACTTTCACATGCCCCCAGGCCATGTGAGTGGTTTTGTGTGGGCTGGGAAGTACCTTCAGCCACGATAAAGAGCTGTTCTGGGTCAGTGCAGGCACATGTTTCTGCATCAGAACAGGAGCTGGCAAGAAGCTGGGAACTGTGTAGATACAAGAGGGAACGAGAAGAACGTGGGGAGCTGTAGGAGTCTGAATCTCCAGCTTTAGTGTGCTGCCTCCTCCTCTACATCTGCATAAAAAGACCTACAATGGGCTAAAAAAGCTGGTAAACAGCCACTGTGTGAAACCCAGACTAAAGGGGCCTCTGCAGCACTGGGTCTTTCAGCTCCAAGTGTGTGGTGCTGTGCAGGGACACGCTGCTCTCAGCAGCTTTGGCTGTGCTTGAGCTCCTCCCTCAGCCTTTGCTCTGGGGTGCTTGAGCCTTCCTTGCCACCTCACTGCCTTACAGCTTGGTGGGTGCTTTTCCTAGGGAAGCCTGAAGCGCTGGATCCAAGGGAACCTGACCAGCTGTGGACGGTCAGCGTTTCTCTTTGATGAGATGGACAAGATGCACCCAGGCCTGATTGATGTGATCATCCCCTTCCTGGGACCCTCCTGGGTTGTGTACGGGACCAACTACCGCAAAGCCATCTTCATCTTCATCAGGTGAGAGAGGCCTCTCCGTGGGGCCTTCCAGCTCACCGCTGCCCATTTGGGCAGAGGTCACTCCTACTTCAGGGCACAGCTTGTTTTGCCTTTCCTTCTCCAAGCTTTGAGCCTCTACAAATGCCAAGAGATGCTAGCTCACTGTGAACAGACAGATCTGGAGAGTGTGAAAAAGCCTCCTCTGCTGTTATTTGGCTGCCTCTACAGGAGTTATTTTGGGCCAGGCAGCTGGGAGCTGCTGGCTTGCACTCTGCAGGCTGGTGGGTGTCAGGTGCCACCTGAGACACCATTTTCCTGGCTACACAGTGGATAAGTCTCTCGTTCTTGTGCAGCAATGCAGGAGGGGAGCAGATCAACAACGTGACGTTGGCTCTGTGGCGTGCCCGCAAGGACCGGGAGGAGATCAGCCTGCAGGACCTGGAGCCAGCCATCTCCACGGCTGTGTTTGAAAACCCTGAGAGTGAGTCCATGGAGCTGAGCTCCTCCTGTAGCCCCACAGCCCAGCACAGGCAGCCAGGCCTGTTCTAGGAAGCCACCCACACCACCTGCCACCTCCCAGGCAACCAGAAAGGGACAAGGGGGGTTTGAGGGATTGGAACTGCAATCCCCTTGAGGTTTCCTTCCTTCTGAGCCAGCAGACCTGTTGCTATATTTAGCAAAGTTCTTGGGAGACAAGGTGTATTTGCAGCTGGGGGCTGGCAGACAGCACAGCACGCTTGCCAGAACAGCACTGAGCTGTATTGATCCCCACTGCCTGCCTGCATCTCCTTGCCTTGCCCTTCGCACAGGGAGCAGAGCTTAAATTCTGACTAGACAAGCTAAATCCCCCCATTCCTGAAGAACAAATCTGTCTGGGGGGGAGGTGACAACTGATGGGTTCAAAACCAGCAAGATCTCTCTCCAGCAGAGTATTTTGGCTTCTCACAAAGCAGCTCTGTGAATTGCAGGGACTGCAGAGACTCTCTGAAAGTAAAACCTTCTCTTCCTTTCCTTGTGCAGGTGGCTTCTGGAGATCTGGGATCATTAATGAACACCTCATTGATTTTGTTGTGCCTTTCCTCCCACTGAAGCACCACCACGTGAAGCAGTGTGTGGTCAGTGAGCTTGTCCAGCAAGGCCTCGAGGTACGCCCGGATGTCGTCCAGGAGGTGGCTGACAGCATCCCCTACTTCCCAGAAGAGGAGAAATTATTCTCATCAACAGGCTGCAAAACAGTGGCATCTCGCATCAGTTTTTTCTTCTAGTCACTGGCAAGGGCCTCTCTCAGATCCATATGGAGCTAGAAAGCACCCAGGGCTGGTGGGATGTGCAGTGGGAATGGTGTGTCACTCCCCACAGCACAAGTGCTCTCCTGCTGAACTCTCTCCAGCTCCAAGGAGCCCACTGCAGGATGCAGCTGCAGGACCAGGTGCAAATTATGTAATTTAAAGCACTTTACTGATTCACTCTTGGCCAGGTAAAGGTGGATCTACCACCTGAGACATGTGTGATAAGATGGGGAAGATGCTGAGAGGGTCTGCAGTGTCAGGGAGATTCTCACCCTGTCCACAGCACCCATCCACAGCTCTCCCCAATTCTGGCAGCTGTTGATACCCAATACGTTAAGATTCTGAGCCCACAGAAGATTATTTCTTCCTTACAGCATTTTAACAGTTTTTTAAAAACCTTTTTAAGCATAGCTGTGCCTCAGCTCCTTGGCACAACATTAATATATTGGTGCTGACTCCTGTGAACACCTCAACGTGGCAACCAAGTTTTCTTTTCAAGGAAGTTTTAGAGCCACCCACATTCCAGTTTCCTTTCACTGTGAATAGGTGCTTGGTAGCTTCAACACCAATGAGCGGGGGTAATGTGAGAGGGGAACACCTGATCTGCCATGAGCAGGCTCCCCTACCACCCCTTCATCCATCTTTCTCCTAAGGGCCAAAGGATTTCCCTCTACCAAACCAGGAAAACAACAACAAAAGACTTTTGCTTGTTTTACCAGCCGTGAAGAATCTTATCCTACCTCCAGGGGAGCCCACAGCACTGCTAACGGTTTTGAAAATTCCTTTTATTCGGTGATGGTTTCTACAACAGAGTTGGTGCTGGGAGCTGTGGAGCTTCTTGTGCATCCCTGTGCTGGTCAGACCTTGCAGGCTTTGGCTGGGCCAGCAGGTCTTCAGCTTCTGGGCAGTGTCACAATGGGGGACGTGGGGACAACTTAGAGAAGATTAGTGCTCCAGACTGTCAAGCATGGGATGCACAGCCTGGCTTTTGCCCTGATTTTGATATCCTCTATGCTGTTACAGCGTAAGAGGTCAGAGGAACCAGAGTCATTCACTGGCTAGGAGCAACCTGCTCCAGGGAGGGGTAAGGACTTCAAAGCTTCCAAAGCTCTGCTTGTTCCCTGTAGGGAAATGAGCTGCCAGTGCTTGGGACCATTCCAGCTCCAGGCCCTGAGCTTTGGGGATTTTACATGGCACCCAAAGGCTGCCCAAGAGCTGGCCCAAAGACAGAGGCAAAAATTCCGCCTCTTGCAAAAATACGGATTTCTAATTTTAAAATAAATCTTATAAAAATGAAACAATTGAGGCGTTTACATGGATTCCTGACTGCAGGCAGTGTGGAGGGACTTGGAAGATGACCAGTTTCCAGCACAGTGAGGTGCTGCTGGGCTGGGGAACCGCCCCGGTGCCCTGGAAGCAAGCTGTGCCCTGCTGGCAGCGTGAGGACCTGCTTGGGGAAGGTCAGGAGAGACGTGTTCCCCCTTACAGCCCTCTGCCGAGGGGCGAGTGGAGACGGGACCGGCACAAACACACAAACCACGGGGCGCAGTGCGGGCATTCACCGCTCCTGCGAGTCCCTCGGGCCCTCTGCGGAGCTCCTCACGGTCTGCCCGGTGACAGCCCGTTAGCGCGCCTCGCCGTCCCCACCACAACCACCTCTAGCACCAGCCGGTCGGCGGGCATTGTCACAGCGGCGACACCGCCTCCCACACCCCGGCACCGCCCGCGACACCGCCCCCGGCACCCCGGTACTGCCCCCGGTACCGCCCCGCCGCCCGCTAGAAACATGGCGGTGCTGCCCGTAACCAAGATGGCGGCGGGGGCGAGGCGACGTGGGCGGAACGTTGAGCGGCGCGAGGGCGTGACGTCACGCGGGCCAGGAGGGCGATGCTGGCGGCGGAGGTGGCGGGGCGCGCGCGAGCGCTCGTGGGGCGGGCGGGGCCGCGCGCCGTGGTGAGGGGGGGGGCGGGGGCAGGGAGCCCGTGAGGGGAACGGGGGGAGCTGGACTGTAAGGAGAACGGGGCTGTGAGGGGAACGGGAGAATCGGGGGAACGGGGCTGTGAGGGGAACGGGGGGAGCTGGACTGTAAGGGGAACGGGGCTGTGAGGGGAACGGGGAGAGCTGGACTGTAAGGGGATCGGGGCTGTGAGGGGATCGGGGCTGTGAGGGGAACGGGGGGAGCTGGGTTGTGAGAGGAAAGGGGGAAAGGGGCTGTGAGGAGAACAGGGTGGACCAGGACTGTGAGCCGAGCAGACGGAGCGGGGCTGTGAGGGCAGTGCCGGGGGGGATCAGGTCATGGGCGAGCACCGGCACGGTCAGGGTTGTGAGGGAGAGACCGAGGCTCTGAAGAGGGACTGAAGGGAATGCTGTGGGGATTGAGGCTGTGAAGACCCAGCCAGCTGTGAGGAGCATGGAGGGAGCAGGTCTGGATCATGCTGGAGGGGATCAGGCCCGTGCAGGGGCCAGGGGCCTGATGGTGGCCTGTCAGAACCCTGTTGACTCTGCCATGCAGGTGGCCGGCCTGGGCAACTATGGGCTGCGAGGCACACGGCACAGTGTGGGCATGGAGGTGCTGGACCAGCTGGCCCGGCAGCTGGCGGTGGCCGAGGGCTGGCGAGTGGACAAGCGGTGCTGCGCTGATGTGGCCCTGGCCACAGCCCACGGCCTGGAGCTGCTGCTGCTCAAGCCACGGAGGTTCATGAACCTCAACGGTCTCAGCGTCGCCAGTGCTGGTGAGCAACTGTGTCAGCCCCAAAGGCTCTAGTGTCACCAGCCTCCTGTGACAGCCCTGCTGTCTCCCTGCCCTCCACGGCTCACTGCAGCCCCACTCTGCAGAGTCAGGGCCTGGTGAGTCTGTCTCCCCCTCATTTCTTAAGTTGTATTTCTGTTTCCAAAGCTGAGATCTATAGCCTTGGCCCTCAAGACATTTACCTGGTTCACGACGACCTGGACAAGGCCCTGGGCAAGGTGGCCATCAAGCTGGGAGGCAGTGCAAGGTATGGGGTAGCCCCAGCTCCCTGATTGTGTGAGCTGGTTTGAGGCTTTAACATGCCCATACAGGTTCATGGGATATTCTTGGCCCCATCCCACCAGCCTTGCAAAGTTTCAGCTTTTGTTCTCGGCTTGATCTATTGCAGAGGCAGCAGCTGGCTGTTTGGGCAGCCTCCCAGTTCCTGCCCTAGCAGAGAGGGCAGAGAGCCTCCTGGAAGCAGCTATGGGCTGGATTCAGCCCACTGACAGCACCACATGGGCTTTTTATAGCACTGTGCCTCCACTGTGCCTGCCCAGTGCCAGACCTAGCTTTCCTATTTCACCTAGGAAAGCTTCCACTGCTGGATGGGGCAGGTACAGTGCTGGGCCCCAGTGCTCAGTCACACATGCACCAGCTGCAGCAAGAGCTGACACACACAGAAAATGCTGTCCCAGCCCTGCTTCCCTCCAACCCCCAGCCAACTGCTCTGAGCCCCCAGGGCTGGATGTTCCTGCAGAACGAGGACATGGGGACTGCAGCCCTTGGCTGGGACCACATTCCCACATTCCTGCAGCAGGAGACCCCAGGGCTATATGGGGGGCTGTCCCTTACAAACTAAGTGTGGGTTTTCTCTTTCTCTCCCAAGGGGACACAACGGGGTCCAATCCTGCATCAGTGCTCTGCAGTCCAGTGTAAGTGAGCCTCAGGGGAAGTGGATCAATCATCCATCAATGCATGGCTTGTTCCCCCACTCCCATTTTTCTGATTCCTCTTAGACAAGCCCCTGCTCCCTTTCCCCCCTGCTCTCCTTCCCCTTCTTCCTGGAGGGCTGTTGTCTGTTTGGCCGCCATGGAGGACATGGAAACAATTAGCCTGAGTGCCTCTGCCAGGCCTGGCAGGAGCCTGGGATCTCGGCACAGCCCAGCAAAAGCCTCTTCCAAAATTATGTTTCTTGGAGCAAGCACTCAAAACCAGCTGGAAAACATGAGGAGCTGCTCCTTTGCTGCCCAGCCCCACTCTCGGCACTGTCACCTTGCCTAGCTCTGTCTGAACACTTGAGGGGAAGCTCCCCCAGCTCTCTTCCTTCCTCCCCAGGAGATGACCCGGCTCAGGATCGGCATCGGGCGGCCAGAGGGTGATGTGACAGTGCCCGACTACGTCCTGTCCCCGTTCAGTGCTGGGGAGCGGGAGAAGCTGGAGCAGATCCTGGCCCAGGCAGTGACCTGCCTGCTGGAGCACATCCAGAGCCGAGCACCTACAGAGCCAGGGGACAGGGGCTGACACAAACCCACGGGGACCCTTGTGGCTGATGGACAGGGTGCTGCAGGCACTCCGGAGTGACCGTGGTGCGGAGCAGAGCTGGCCCAGCTGGGCAGTGTGCTTGGGAGCTGGGGCAGCCTCCTTCCATCCCCCCACCAATCCAGGCAGCTCATGTCCCACTTGAATCCCTGCAGAGGCTCCTACCTCAGTTTGGCACTGAAATGAAATAAACCCTCACCCTGACTCTGCCCTGCTCCTGCCTCTCTTCCATGTGCTGCTTGCCAGGCTTGGGTTGTCCTTGGCACTGCAGCTCAAATCTGTGTTCCCATCCCTGTTCGACCAGCACAGTCTGGAGGGAGGCTTCTACTGAGAAATGGGGAGCAATAGGAGCTACTTCTGTAGATCCAAAGGTACTTCAGCTTTGTTGAGGAACTGGCAAGCACGGAGAGCCTGGAATCTCATAGTGTGCTGCTCTGACTGAGCTGCAGCAAGTTTCAGGGCTGGCCTCGCAGTGTTTTTGAGTTCAGTGGTTTTGGCCAAAACCGTGGAGTTTCCAACAGCTGCAGGAGTTCTGGCTTCCCGCAGACCCGTTGCAGGTCTCGTGGAGGGCACAGACTGAGGCAATGTGTCCTCACCACTGCTGTGTCCCAGAGTCCTGGCTGGGCCACCATGTCCTGCCCAGCTCTGTATCCCAGGAATACTGAGACACCCAGCAAAGGCAGCTCCTCTCCTGCATCCCAGCAGGCACTGGAACAAGCACTGGGACACTTGCTGGCTGACAAATACCACAGTGTTGCTGTCGCTTCCATCCTCTGCTCCAGCTGGCACCAGACATTCTTCTGATCCATCCCCAGCTCCCAAGCTCCTCTTGGAGCACTGAGGCTGTGTGGACCAGGGGAAAAGCTGGGAAGCAAAAGTGTGCCCAACCTGTCATCCCTTTCTCACCCATGTCTATACTGGCTGGGACCCTCCACTTGCAGAACATGCACTTGGCCATCTCCTCTCTGTTCTCCAGGAGATACACTTGGATCTTCAGGTCCCTTGTGATCTGGAGCTGGTTGTTTTCCTTCAGGAGGTTCCTGCTGTAGCTGTTCAACCTGCCCCAAATTATGGTTTCCTGAATCCCTTGGTAGTCCCAGACATCTCACTGGGTTGTGCTACCAAGGCCTCCACCTGCTGCACCATAACCTCCACTCCCAGGAGAGAGCTGAGCTCCATGAAGATGCCACCCACTTTTCCCACCCAGACCCCAAGGGTGAGCTTCAATCTTCCTCCCTGCCACCTGTCTCCTTCCCTCTCTTTCCCCTTTAGAGATTTCATTCCCAAAGTTCCCAGCTGGGGGAACTGCCGGACCCTCACCCCTGCAGCACCGAGGTGACCCCTGGGAACTTGGGGCAATGCCAGCACCCAGCACATCAGCTCAAACAGTCTGCTTTAATCCTCCCTGGGCTTCCACCCAGGCATGGCATGAGGGACAAGCCCAGTCAGTGGCAGGAGGCCACCACGTGTGCCAGCCCAAAGTCCAGGCTGGTGGGAGACAGCAGAGTTCGCATTGATTGGGACTGTCCTGGAGACGTGTCCTCAGCAGAGACGGAGCACAGCGCTCCTCTGGTCTCTCCACTTGGCAGGGAAAGGCTTTCCTGGGGCAAATCCTGCCTTGGGTGGATTCATCACATGCAGATTCGAAGAACCCTGTGGGGCTCTGTCCAGGGCAGCTGCATCTCCTGAGTGGGAGCGGGCAGTACAAGGTCCTTGCCTGTGGTGCTCCCAGCTGGATCACAGTCCCTCATCCCTAGAAGACATGGACACAGACATCAGTGGTCACGGCAGGAGCAGCCCCAATGTGTTCACGCCTGCAGCCGAGGCAGTGGGAGAGCTGTTTTCCAGCCTCCCCCGGTCTGGCAGCTCCCAGGGCAGTTCTGTTGCCAGGACAAGCAACCTCAGGCAGGGAAAGTCTGGCCCAGCATTAACTGTGTCTGTGCTGCCCGGGGGCTGAGCCAGTGTGGGTCGCCTGCCTGCCTGCCTGGCCACCCCACAGACACACAGCCCAAGGAGACCCACTTCTGAGGGGAGCAAGCAGTGCTGGGGCGAGACGTTCCCCTGGGATATGCCCCAGCTCTTTCCACACTTTTGCAGCAGGCATTCTCCCTTCCTCACCTGAGGGGCTGGGGAGCAGCATGGACTCAGAGAGATGGAGAGCCCTGTCCCCATATCCCCTCCAGCCCAGCACAGCCCCACATGGGACATCTGTGTCCTTCTTTCCACACTTCTGCAGCAGGCAAAGGTGCATTCTCCCTTCCTCACCTGAGGGGCTGGGGAGCAGCATGGACTCAGAGAGATGGAGAGCCCTGTCCCCATATCCCCTCCAGCCCAGCACAGCCCCACATGGGACATCTGTGTCCCCACCCCTTTCCCCACCTGGATGAGACAGTCTGGTCTGTTTCCCAATGCTTTGAGTCTGCCAGGGAGAGCTGCTGCCCCATGACAAAAACAAGCTAGGCATGTGGGACACATGTGAACATGGTACGTGCAGGGAGACGCTCCCCAGCTGCCCTGTCCCCTGTGCCTGGGTCTCACGGCCTTGCTCACCATCAGAGCTCGTCACGGGCCGTGGAGCGGAGGTGGCCAGCACTGCCCCGTGAGTCCCTCAGTGTCTTCTGCGAGCCAACCCAGTCAGTCTTCTTGGCATCGTCATCCCAGATGGTGGAAGTCTCGGTGTCACTCAGCCAGTTGCTGTCCCCAGCATAGTGAGTGGGATAAACCAGGAGGGGGTGAGCCGAAAACACCAGCAAGTCCCGTGGGGAGAAGTGCCGCTTGTAATCCTCACTGGGGAAAGTAGAGCAGACCCGAGAGAAAAAACTGGCTTACAGAGCATGGCACAGAGGAGAAAACCAGAGCACTGGGAAAACCAAATCAACCATCCAGGAAAGGCTCTATGCAGGGCAGGGGATAGGGAGGGGTGTGGGGTACCAGGCATGGAGCCGGGGAATGCTGGGCAGGGACTGTGGAGAGATTACAGAGAGGACAGGACCTGTCGCTCCCCACCAGCTGGGGCCGGCCCTTGGCACAGAGTGGGTCTCTGGCACAGCATCCAGCTGGCCCTGAGACAGGGCTGTCTCGTGCTGTTATGCCTGTAAGCAGGGGGCTTCCAGCTGCTGCTGGTGCACATCCAGAGCCCTAATCCGTCCCTCCATCCACCTCCAGCCTGCCTTTTACATGCCTGATCCATGTGTTTCTCCATCCTGCTCACTGGGTTTCCCAATCCCTTCTCTCCCAGGACACCCAGCCACTGGTGCTCACTCACCCCCTAAATTGCCTCCCACTCCCCAGACAAAGCTTACTGCTGACCCCCCACCCCAGAGAGGAGCATGAAAGTGCTCCAAATTGGGGCTGAGACCCCCAGCCAGGGGCAGGGGACCACAGAGCCCCCCAGCACTAGGGTACAGGGGGCTGCTCCCTGCTCCTTGCCATGGGGCCAAGACCCTGTGCAGGGCCCACACCAAGCCCCAGCTCCATTCCCATTCCCCCCCCATGCTGGCAGAGGGCCATTTTCCAGCAGCCAGTGGCCAGGCAGCAGCCGGCTGAGAATGAGCTCATGCTACAGATGTTTTCCTCCAGCATGAGTAACGCCTGCAACGGGGGGAACTGGGTGAGGTGGTGACAGCAGAGAAGAAACACATTGTTCCACACTGGCATGGCCAGGCCAGCACCCTCCTGCACAATCTGCTCCTTACTTGGGGTGCTTGTCATACATGATGGGCAGATACTCGTCCACAGGCAGCATTTTGGAGAGGGGGTTGGTGGCCAGCAGCTTCCGTGCCCCATGGTGGGAGATGGCGTAGGCCAGTGTCCAGTACGAGTACCCGGCCACCACCAGGTTCCGCACGCCTTTCACAGGTTCCTCATCCTCGTCATTCACCTGTTTCCTCCCCAGGTAGCTGTGGGGTGGCCAGGGAACCATGAGAGCCAGCCTTGGGGACCCCCACCCCCCACCCCCTGGCCCCAGCACCTACATGAGGTCCCAGTCCTGCTGTGCCCGCTCCAGCTCCTCCATCAGCCGCTGCAGCCGTGCTGGGAAGGCAGCCTCGAAGCGCACATCATCCTCGAACACCACTGACCGCTCCAACCTCCGGGACACGATCTGGGGGAGGGCACAGAGGTGCCAGCCTATCCCAGCACCCCTCTGGGCCATACTGGGGCTACTGACCCTACAGGACATCCCTTCTCCCCAGGTCCTCCAGACATCTGTGATGCTCACAAGGTCCCTGCCCACTGCTGGTGGCCCTTAGGGACCCCATGGCTGCTGTGGCCCCATACCTCCTTCCAGATATTGTAGTGGCTGAGGAAGCAGCCAACCTCGCCCTTGGTGAGCGTGCGGCCGGAGAAGGGGTCGTAGTACCCGGGTAGCAAGTCCACACCCAGCACCTTGATGTCACTGCTGTTGAGGGTGCTGCAAGGAGAGGGGCTGCATCAGTGAGGTGTTCCACCAGACACTCCCTGTCCCCTCACCAGAGTGACACCAAGGGACTGGCTGAGTGGTCCCCCGATGGTCACCTGCCATCCACAGCATCCACCACCCGTGGAATGATCTCCAGCTCCTGCAGGGATGCTAGCATTCGCTGCCGCCTGTCTGGCCTCCGCACCAGGTTGATTAGGAATATCTGGAGAGGAAGAGGAGAGCCCCAACAATGGGGTGTGTTGTCATGGAGGACACAGAGTCTGCCCAGCTACTGCAGGATGGGGACAGGGGCTTGGGTTTTGCCATGGATAGATGCAATCAGAGAGATGGATGCAATCAGAGGGGTGGACAGGGGAACACAAGCAGCTCCACTGGGCACTTACTTCATCAAAGCCCATTTTTGTGAGTGGCCTGGGCAGGAGAGAAATATGTCTGGAGCGCTGCATGGGGGGACCATCCACTGTGGAGAGAGGAGACACTCTTCAGTGGAGCCCAGATTCCCCTGGCTGGGAGCTGGGGCTGACAGCCCTGTCAGGACCTAGAGGCCTCCAGGACTTCTCCACCCATGGGCACTCACCCATGGCCTCCAGCGTGAGATGCACGAAGTTGGCATGATCATCCTCCAGTGTCTGGTGGGCCTTCACAGGAACATTGATGTAACCAAAGCGGTGCTGGTTGCACACGTGGACCTCCACACCTGCCGGATGAGACAGGTGAGCAGCACAGCCCCCCCAGCCCCTGCAGCCCCCAAAACCCCCATCACCCTCACCAGCCTCCTGGCAGG